CAATACTGAGTAACCTTGCACTATAAATATAGCAAATTTTAAACAATATTTCATATTTAAGTGGATATAGTGGTTAACACCAAATAGTGACAGTCTGTTTCAGGCTTGAACCCAATCTTCAGGTATGAAAATTGCTATTAAACATAAAAGAGACTGTCACCACTTGGTGTTGACATCAGTGACATATTTTCAGATGCTTCATCTCTGATACTGTGCACTTTTAAATATAGCATGCATTAAAACTATATTTTTAATATATATATATATATATATAGTACAGGTAATAAATTTGTTGTTATATAATACAAGTGGATGCTAGTAATATTAAATATTAAAACTGATCCACAAAAAGAACTCAATGTATTTATAATAATAGAGCATATAAATTACAGAACAAAATCCAAAATTGCCTCATATGGTAGGGGAGTATTGAAGTATATATATATATATATATATATATATATATATATATATATATATATGAAATGGACAAAGTCCAACAATTATTTTAAGACATTTTTATGCTTATACATTCTTTTTATAGACACAAATAATTAAATTAAATGCTCTGTTTATAATAAACAGTATTAACAACATTTACTTGCCTAAAATAATTTTAAGAATAAAATCAATTATCAAACTTATACTTTGAAAAAATTTTGCAATGAATGCAAAAAATTTGTGCTGCAGTATTCAAGACTCAAGGAGGATATATTGATGAGAGCAAAATTTAATCATAAAATGCTTTTTTTCTTTTTGTCATAATAAAATTTATAATAAAATATTATGTCTCACTTTTTTTTAATCATGTATAATAATTTTCTCTTATTTAAAGTACCAAACATTTACTTTTTCATCCAATTTGAAAAATTATCAGGAGTTTCCTCAAACTTTTGAATTATAGTGTACTTTGAGTGCTTTGATTTACTCCAACTATTGTTCTGCTGATGTAATGGAATAACCGGTCACCCCCATCAAGGATCACACTATAGGTAGCAAGTACCTATAAAGTCAACCGTCTACAAGAGATGAGAGAAGAGTGAGAGAGAGACGACGCAAACATGTCCGACCTTCCAATTAGTATTTACAAATCCTTTTGTGAGAAGGTCTAAATTTGCTCATTCTCTCTACTATGCATAACTATGAAGTCAATACCTTACATAAATGTTTAAAGATATTAAATAATTTATATTCACTACACCTGTTCACATGCTAAAAAGGAGAAAATTCTCATTTGGTTGCTTCCTAAAAATGTTTTTAGTAAATTTGGTATGATCATCAATATAAGCTGCTTCCTAAGATCAATAGTGATTTTCACCATTGAAAATAAGGCGAAAATCATCCTGCTTTGAACATTGTGGACTGACAATACAGATAATAATTGGCAGAGCTGCCCAACAAAAAAATACTTATGTCTCACATTTTTTTTTTAATCATGTATAATAATTTTCTCATTATTTAAAGTACAAAACAACTACTTTTAGGGCCAATTTAAAAAAATTACCAGAGGCAGTGTAGGGTATACACAAACAAACATGTAGTTGTAAAAAAAAATTATGCAAATATATATCACATTGAATCACAAGTAATTGATTACAGTCATAGGGGCATGACATGTAGTGCTTCCATAACAGCAGAGGTGTGTCTAGGGTAAGATTGCTTTATGGAGTACTTCTCTTTTACAGGTTGGTTTTGAATTCAGAATTCTTCTTCTAGACTGGTTGCCACCTCAAGACCAGAGAACTCAATGAAATCTGCAATATAATGATAGCTGATTGGAATGGAGGGGTTGATACATTATCCATGTGTATTTGTGTGAAAGTGAATGAAACAAACTCAGCTGGAATTTGACTTTAGGGTGCTGGATTTCTCTTTCTGAGTTGCTAACCAGTATATTACCTGCATGTCTACATATGTATATCGATATAATTAAGAGCAGACGCACACACATATAGATGAAAATAAGAGCAGACACACATATAGATAAATAAAAGGCATAGATATTCATAAAAGCAGACACACACATATATACATACACACACATATATGCACACACACATACATATATACACACACATATATGCACACACACATATATGCACACACGCACATATATATATATAAAAGCAGACACATACATACAGATATAAATAAGAGTAGATGCACACATATAGATGTAAATAAGAGCAGATGCACACATATAGATATAAATAAAAGCAGAGACATACACATAAGACCAGATGCATAGATATATATATATATATATATATATATATATATATATATATTATAAAAACAGAAACTTACATATAGATCAAACTCAAATCAAAGCACATATAGATCTAAATAAAACCAAAACACACATAAATAAGGATATGCATGCATGTGTATATATATATATATGTGTGTGTGTGTGTGTGTGTGTGTGTGTGTGTGTGTGTGTGTGTGTGTGTGTGTATAAACCTGTTAGTAAAATTTTGCAGAGCTTCAACATCTGCCTCAAAACAAGATCAGGGCATAATTGGGTAGACATTGATGCTTTCAGCTGTTTTTTTTTTTTTATTACACCAACTGTTTTATATTACACCAACTGACACCTGTAATTATTCTCTTTCATCCATTTTCTCTTTCACTTTTTTTTGTTTCAAACAAAATAAAAATCCTGGAAACAGCTGTCTTCTCCAATAAACAGTGTTATTTGGTGGCTAACCATATGTTTGTTGTGATGCTGTGATAAGACATGTCAAACACACTGTGTTTGTTCAGACGGAGCTTAAAGCAGTGAAGCAAATATAACCTTCAATCTCTACTTGTACGTTCTGTCTTTGAATATTCATGATACCAATTCACTTTTCAAGCACTAAGGTTATCAATAAAAGAAAAATAAGGCTCTAGAAGTAGAAATGTACCAATTACTGTCACTTGCCATAAATGAGAAAATTAAGTTTTAAAATTTACAGAAAATATTGCCTTTTCTTTTGGAATTCTTCTGCTATTAAATATCTTTGCTACAATATAAATCAGCTTCTGATTTTGGATTGAGCTGAAAATATTTGGTCATTATCTTACATTTGAAAGTAAGAATGAATAAGTTAACTTCTTAGTCTTTATAGCACCAGTATACATTTCTTAGTCCCATCACCCCTGACCTTTATAACTGGGACCTACCCTACCATGTACACAAGTGGGAATTATCCCCATTCTCTTTGTATTCTAGTGGTAAGAATTAAGTTCCATTTCGAAAGCTTCTTACCAAGAACTGCTCTGCTTTGTGGAACTTCACTTCCTGTCCTTTTTTATACTCATACAACATCACAGAGTAACCCTCTCCCTTGAGATGCACTTGGGTCTTGTACTGGGTAAACATTGGTATTAAAAAGCACCAATCATATCAGATCAGTAGGTTAGAATTTCCAAGCTAAATGGGAAATTTTCATAATTCTTATGGAAAAAAAAAATCATCATGCTAGTAAGGACTTCAGTTATAAATATATACTGAATATGTAAATCATTTTAAACAACAACATTAATTGAGGAAGTGAAATCTGGCAAATTTTAGATGTTTCATTTGTATATTTAGAGATTTTCTAATGGTTTGTTTACAGCATATACTATCAGTTCATGTGTTAATCTTGTTAATTCAGGTGGTAATTTCTTTTAAGAAAAATAATTGAGGAAATAAACCTCAACACATTTTCAGGATTTCAATATTATATAAATTTTAAATTTTATAAAACAAAAATTATACTCATAAATGTAATTTCGATGAAAAAAATAATATATATTTAATAATTTTATATTTCGGCAACAATCCCTTTTTTATACAAGTTTCATTAAAAATGGCTGACAAGGTACAGCAGTTAAGTTTTTTATTTCATTTTTCTTATGTTCTTATAATTTTCTTCTTTTCTGGACACAAATTATAATTATATTTATTTTGTTATCTGAATTAAGCGTTATTCATATATATATATATATATATATATATATATATATATATAATTTTTAGTGATATATGTGTTTTTAATTTTTAAGAGACAATGATAATAATGGGTGATAAAAAACCTCAAATAAAAATCTAGGTATTGTACCGGTTCTGAGGGATGGGAACATAACGTTGGAAAATGCAAGAAATGTTGAAAGGATGATCAATTTATGATCATCAGCACAGAGAAAAGGGGAATTTTTGTGTGCTGAGGCCAAATTTTAACAGAGACCGTTTCATTCAGTCCACAGTGATTGATTCAAGTACGGGATTTTTTTACAATGCAGTTACAAAAATCAGACTCAAATTGAGACTCAAACCATTTTATAATTGGATAGTCTTAGAAGAAATCTGTTACAAGATGAAGTTGATTTGATGGAAAGAAATACGTAACAAAGATTTTCTGTAAAATGAAAAGTTGATAAAAATTCATATAAAATAAAAGGTCTAAACCAAAGAACTGCTGACCTGCTATGTAATATCAGTCCTTCTTTATGGCAGTGAATGCTGGACAATTTCTTCATAGATGAAGAAGATGCTGAGAATACCATGGACAGAACATGTGTCCATTGAGGAAGTTTTAAGCAAAATGGAAACAAAGAAACAGAAAGGGCATTTTTACTTAGAATAAGAAAAAAACCAACAATTCAAATAATGAGAAAAGAAGGCTCAGAGAATTTGACTCTCACAAGACATGCTGAAGACAAAAGAAGTTGGGGAGAAACATCAGGTAACCTAGATAATGAGCTTGGATAAATGGACAGCAAAACAAGAATCAGGATAGATTATAAGAAGAAAAACATTGCTTATAGATAAAATGAATAGGATGCTGTGGAAAGTCATGATCACCCAAAAATAAGCAATAGAAAATCTATTCTCAGACTGAAATCTTATGAAAACTGACATTATTTCTGACCCTATTCAGTTCACATTGGTAGCCATTTTGCTATGCAAAGTGTTAACAGTTAGCAGACATGATTCCTGAAGACATTCAAACAAAGTGATAGATGTTAGTCTAAAATGCAACTGTATCAAGCAGAGAAAGAAAGGCTTGACAGCTGAAGAGTGAACTGTGACCCAGCTGGCCTCTGAATGGATTTAGGTACAACAAAGTAGAGAGGTCGCTGCCAAAATGCAGACATGCCAATATCCTCAGAATGACAAAGGAATCTGTAGCAATCTGCAGACACTTTTCAGTTTTCTTGGATTGGCTTTGTCTCTGAGTGACAATAACTGGAACAAAGAGAAATGAAACTCTGAGAACATATTACTTCTGGCTTTACACCAAAATGATTGACATCTACCTTGCTGGATAATGCCCAAAATTTACTTCAGCACTCAGTAAGAGTTGTTGCCAAACTAAGTTTTAGTCTGCTGTGGTGTTTGAGTATATCATATAAATAAAGACTGAATGCAGCCTCTGAAAACCAAATGGCAGAATTGGATATCAAATAAAGATTTAGTAAAAGCCATTTATTGCAAAAAAATTTGATGGTAATCATAAAATAAATCCAAATCAAGTCTATGAGTTTATCTCACAAGTAAACATTTTGACTGTAGACTCATCTCAAAAAATGGTAAGTATTCCTGTTGTTGTTGCCACGCACTCGCATCCAAACACTGAGATCATCATCCTCTCTCCCTATTCCCTTTCTCTCCCCTGGTGGTGGTGTGGAGATGGCTGTGAATCAAAGAGATTATGTCAAGCCCATTCACATGAATTTGATTTTGGTGGACAACTCTGTGCGATGGAGAAGCCCACACACTTGGCCAGAAGTGCCTTGCTCACGGCTTAAAGAGGACTGAGACAGGTGAGATCTTGCAAACCTGGTTATTTTAGGGTGTTGGCTGCTTGGTCTGTCAAGGTCTGTCTTGGTTATGTCATCCCAATTAACACTGCCCTCTTCCACTGGTTTGGCTGTTGAGATCATGTAAATCTTTATTGGGGTCTTTGGGGATTGATCATGTTCAGTCTGGACTTCCTTTTCAACCATACCACCATGGGTGGCCCTACAGGAGTTGAAACTCCAGACAGCTTCACTATTGGAATCACTGGGACAAGTAATACCTCTACGACGACTAGAAGCATGTGTATATATTTTACATTGGTAAGTATTCTAAAGGAAAAACAAAAGATGAAAAATACCATGTCCTTGAAATATAAAGCCTGTACTCATATTTTAAAACTGGAAGTTATATATGCCATGTATTTTCACACATTAAAATGGTTATTTTTTTCTATAAAACAAAGAAAATGACTAGGTAATTCAAAGATTTAGAATTACTGACTCAAAACTAGAGCATTAATGATTTTACTCCATTTTGTTTTTCTTGCTTTTTATCCAAACACATTGGACCAACAGAATCTTCATTATTAAAATTATTTTATTACTAGTTTTACTCCACCTTGATTTTGTTGCTATTTATTTCAACACTGATAGATCAAAACATTTGTCATTTTTAAATGTAAATAATCTAATTCATGCTTGTTACTTTAATGTTTTCTTACATGATTTCCTACTACCAGGTTGATAGCTCATCTTATTCTTTTTAATGTATTCATCTCAAGAAAGGCAATAATACCACTAAGATCCAAGGGGTTAGTGAGAGTGAAAGAGAATGTGAAGACTTTACATGGAATTGGAAACCCAATCCTAAACAGGAGTTAAACCCCTACTCCTGTTCAAAAGACTAGGGAGACATGGCTTTGTCAAGTGCCTTTATCTTCTGTGGATTCATAGTTTGTTTACTTGTATCATTTATTTTTCTAGGTGCAGAATGTTCAGTGATAGTTACTTATTACACAGATGCCAAGTGAACTCAATTTGCTATTTATATTTTTTTTACTTTTTACACATTTTTTCTAGTTTATTTATGAGTAAAGGAGATGCTACTTGCTTCTGTCACCCCCCTTATATTGTAGATGATGCAAAATCTTTTACTAATATTTTTTCTTTCCAACACCAAAGTGTAAGGGATAAAGATTTCCTCCTCTCTATAATAGAGTCCAGCACATGATTTTCTTTTAAATGGGATCAAATACCTATAAGCATTAAAGACCAAGTCCAGTTTTTTCTAATCTTGATATGGTTCAAAGTGTATGACCCCCGACTTATCAGCCAAAAATCATAAGGAGTTTATTTTTTCTGAACTCTGTAGCAATAGGATATTAATCAAGAAATCCAAACAAAGGTTTCAATGAACTTCCCAGGTATTTCTAAGCATAATTTCAATATTTCTTAATCTTGACTTTAACTTGTAACCTCACCTTAGACCTACATCAGAATGCAATATTAACATGACTAACTTGTCTATAATTTTGTTTTTAATAATAACAAAAATAATATATGCCACATCAGATTTTAATATAAAAGTCCATGTTTTCAGAATAAATCTGATATTAACTAGTTGATGTTTCTCAGATTTTTAAAATATACATATATTTATCTGATAAATATACCATGTGAATTTCACCTTATACTATTTTTTATTAGAAATATTTAAAATACCTTCTTTGGTATTTACACTATTTGCATTGTTTGGACTGTTGTTCTTATCTCTATTGTCATATTCACAACGTTTTGGCCATCATACACTCTAGCCTTCTTTATTTCATTCACTTGGGTAGATTGTTCTAGTTCCACGTGCCATGTCTCTTTTCTGGATATCTCAGTTTCAGTTATTTTCCTTTTTGGAACTCAATCTTATTTGGTTGCAGGAGATTTTATATTCCAATTCAAATGTTGTTCATCAGATTGTAAATAATTATGTGTAATAGTGTCAGAATTTATATTTGCTTTTTTTAATTCAGAGATATAAAAATCACCATGGGTCATGAACAGATAATCTCAAAAGAGAAACAAAATATAAGGTTATTGAATGATATAAATTAGTGTTGTGGCGTCCTCCCTCTAAAGAGTCTATGTTGGACTCTTACGCCTACTACAAGATTAGTAGGAGAGAAGGCCTTGAGGAACAGTCTTCTGCTGTACTTACTGTTTAATATATGATATAATCTGCAACCCTGGTTTTTGTTATTTCTTAACCTTTTATTTGGTCACAATGATTAGAAACTACAATAAATGTAAACAGACATCAAATATTAATCATAAAAGAAACTGAAAAAATTGGAAAGATAAAAACCAGAAAAAATAGTTTTAAAGAGTAACAAGCAAGCAAAGTGGATTGACCAGATAAATAATATTTGAAGAAGCTGGTGTTGTAATGTAGACCATTAAGAACACTGGCTAAAGACATGAAGGGAACTAAACAACTAGCTTTCAGTATAATCACAATGATAAATGTGTACACTGAGCAAAGAGATACACAAAGTTTAATGATGACTGTAGAGCTGCATTGGATAATCCTGATAGTTGAGTTTCCATAGATCAAGTGAATCTGCATGGCATATAAGATGACAGTGAGTAGTAGGTGAACTCTTGTTTTGGGTTAGTACTTTTGTAGGTAAAATTGTAATTGCTGATTTCAAAATAAATGCTAAGAATTATTGCAAGTTTTTGAACAAGATTTCTTTTTCAAGTTGCATAGCTCAAAAGATTTAAGCTAAAAACTGTATTGATGCAAGACAATTTTCCTTCACATTCTTCTTAGCTAATTATTGCCTACCTTGCCAAGAAAAAATAGTTTAAAAAAAAGGTAGTAAATTAACAGTCTGGCTCTCCAGAATCAGCAATGTCATCAGATGTCTCAAAACAAAAATAGAATACTGCTACTTGCTTAGTGGCATTGCTTCCCCTTACATAAAAAGGAAAGTCCACTCCTAACTCAAGAAGTTGAAGCAGGAAATTTACCCTTGTCATCCTCTCCATGGCTGTGAACCAATGGCAAAGAGGCTCAAGACATAGCTTTTTACACTCAACCACTGAACAACATAGCTCCTAGTCAGTGTCTGTGACATGGCCACCTAAACAAAGTGGAATACAGACTCTCTCTCAGCCCTACAGAATCCCTCCCTCACAGGATCCAGTGATGCCTGTTGGTGTTTGAGGTTGCACAAAGTTTTAAGTCATCGTGACCGAGGGTTTCATTGTACTGGCCTTGTTCAGACTGTTGATCACAGCAGATAATGTGCTCTCTCTCAAAAACCGTAACTGAGATCCAATCAGCATAGCTGCTGTATAAACAGATGGGTTCTGTGGGTGTTGAACCAACACAAATGGGCCTGAGTAGGTGTCAGCAGTAGGGATTAGAAAGTTGCCCTAGCAGACAGGTATAATCAGATATGAGTGGCCGGCCATTACATTAAAAGGTAAAATTCACAGGTTATATTGTTCATATGAAGATAAATACATCAAGTTGGTTAATACTGATTTTATCATGAAAAATTTAATCTGATATATTGAAATCTACTTCCTGAAATAAATGCTATTTTAGCTTTGGCTTCAGGTGTTTTCTAAAGTCTCACATCTATACTGAAAGCCCTCTGTGGGTTAAAACTAAAAATTGTTTATTATTTCATCTTTTTTTTTTTTTTTACATCTCCTGGTGTATGATAGACTGTATACTTTTTAATCTGAATATGTTACCTGATTTGACTTATCTACATTAAAATGACAAAACCATCTGACAATGAATATAAAAGATCCACAAATACACCACAAATGTTCTTCAGGGAGGTAGTGTAGCAGATATAGGAATTTGATATATATATATATATATATGTTTTTGTCACCTACTGGATGCATGTTCAGTCACTGGATCAGATAGTGAAACACTGGCATTGATAAGGAATGAACAATAACTGGAATCACAGACAAAATAACACAATAATGAACAAATATCTCAGGCAAACAAAGAACACCTGAAGATGGCCAGTAAGTATTTGGATGAAATATTGTATCTATATCAATCAGGATGGGAACAATAATTTGAAAAATAAAAAGTATATTGACAATTACTCATTTCAGAAATGAAACTCCAATTTAACTACATTAATTTAGATACAAAGTTAAAATCAATAGCTTGAAAAATCTAACTCACCAAATTAGGACATATTTATCTGAAAATTTGAAAAAAAATAACATTTCCAACATTCCATATAAATGTGGTATTCCAATGGGCCAGTTTGATGGTATCTTGCACTATGTCATCTGTGATGCTCTGATCCAGTAGAAATTAATTACAGTCTGCAGAAGTTGAAGTGGTACAGACTCTCCAGACATCAGAAGTTAAAGTGGTAAAGGTTCCCCAGGTGTCAGAAGTTAAAAATGAAAAAGAGAAATTTTAACCAGCTTATATTTGGTTCATTGGGCAAATTCAAGTTGGAAGAAAAGGAGACAATTCTGCTGCTGTTGCAGCTTGAAATCATCCATTAAGTTTTGGGAGGGGAAATATATGAATTAATTAACACTGACTATATAGGAGGTGACGAGAATAGTTTTGTAGCATCTCATTTCTAATGCTTGGGTATTTAAATGTAATTCTGCTGTCAATGTCCAAGATTGACAGGCATATAGAAAAACTGAGGTGGTCAATGTTTGCAACTGTGTATAGGGAAAAAAAAGACATCCTCTCATTCTCTATGGATAATGTATTTGAAGAAAGCCATAGAATGGATAAAAAGTAAACAACCTAGAATATTTTAGAATTAGGGTTAACTATAGTACTATTAATACTACTACTACTAATACTACTACTAATTATAATAATAATAAAGACTAATACTACTACTACTAATAATAATAATAATACCACTACTGCTAATAATAATGATATTAATAATAATAATAATAATAATAGTAATAATAATGGAACTGTTACAGAAAATAAGTGTCTGAGGAATGATAAAAATAATTCAGAAATTGTTGCCCACTTAGAGGAAAACTGAATGAGACCTCAGGCTGCTGCTGCTGTTATCCATGCACAAATTATCTGCTTTTTTTCTTGCACTTACCACCCATGGAACTTTCTTCTGATTTCTTGCTTCCCTGTCAACTATGATCTTCAAAAAGTTAAATGCAATGTTAATCACAATCTTTTGTATTCCTGAATCCTGTTCTTTTATTGTCCTTTCTTCTCATTCTCTTTTACTGCCAGTAACCCCTTGCATCTTAGTGGTATTTTGCTTGAGATGAAATGTTTAAAAAAAAAAAAAAGTAGATATGAAGATCTTATCTGAAAAAAGGAAATATTACTAATAATAATAACTTTATCAAAGACTTCTACTATTAAGTCTTAATATTTGCTAAGCTTGGTAAAAAGCCAACCCTAATTGTGTTGCATGACCAAGTGGTTATAATGTTAGCATTTTGACCATGCAACCCAGGTTTGAATCTCTTCATGATTGAGTTGCCAGGGCAGTGACTTCTTCATAATATTGGTCTAAGGTGACAATCTCAGCATGCAGCAGCATTGTGAAATGCTTGAAACCATACCATGAATTGATTCAAATCTTGGGAGTGAAACTTTTCAGAAGCTGTAGAGGTTTGTGCTAGCAAAAAATAACAAGTCATCATGACTGAGGGTTAATGACAGATATTTAAGTATCGATGACTTGGTGAGAAATTTGCAACTATCAATCCACCAAAGAAGCCAATCTAATTAATCCAGTTTGTAATGTATGGGACATAATATGAGGAAGAGGGTTAAGAAAATTTAACACTCACAGGACAGGTGAGTGAAGGTGGAGGGGAAATAATGAGTAACTTAATAAGTTTGCTTGAATAGATGGTAGAGTGGCAACAAAAAAGGATGATAAAAAGTTAAACATTACTTTGAGTTACAAGGTACATATTTTGAAAACACATGATTGCCGATGTCATGAGGAATTATAGCACATAAAAGAAGCTTAGTCTGACACAAGAGCATCAAAGGAAGGTCACACTAAACACTACAGTAGTAACTGTGTATGAAATAAGCTTGTTAACCATTGTTTTATGGTAAGGCAGCCATCTGTGGATAAGTATTGAATAGGATAGAATATAAATAGGCATGAATTTAAAGTATTATTTTGATGTCTGAAATCAGGTGTATCAGTGGTCTGGCCCCAAGTGTCACGGATTTTTATTAAGGATCACTTCTTGTTTCCTTCCTCATTCGTATAAGTGATCCCAACATTTCGGGTAATTCCCAAAGTGGATTTGTTTTGTAAAAGAACAATAGGCACCGATGAATGCTTGCGGCTTCTTTTCCACTGCAAATAGTGAAACTGAATAAAGAGAAATCAAAGTTGAAGGGTGTGTACCTAAAATACATTGTGGGGTAAAGATATCTTGGGCACTGGTCCAGAATCAGGTTAAAAAGTCGAATTGCTTTCTTGTACACAGCCAAGGTGCAAGAAAGAAAGCAAATTGATTCCTTTTTCTGTAGCGTTGCAAATAATTTGAGGCATAGTTGTTTTCTCATTGGTTGAAAGATATGGTGAAAGGCAAACTATAAGGCAGTCACAAATATATCTGACCATACAACCTACTGACATCAAATTAGGGGTCTTTTTTTCTTTTTTGAAAAAAGTCTTGAGACAAAAATACCCAAAAGGAATTTAAGATAGCAGCTGGAGCTCAAAACTGAAAACTGAATGGAAATAGAAAATGAGTAAATAATTGAAAGCTCTGGGAGGAGTAAAGGGCAGTTGAGACCAGAGTTTTGGTAAAGATTATTATGGCAATAGGGAAAGTGCCTATTGAAAAAGAACAACAACAACAACAACAAAAAAGATTGAAAGAAACAAGAAAATTAGTGAAAGGAGGAAGAACAAGGAAAGGAAAGGAATGAAAAATATCAGAGAATTAGAAAGTGTAAAGAAGAGGAACTTAAAAGGAAAAAAAAAGAGAGAAAGGACAAAGAAAAACAAGAAAATGAAAGAGAGGGAATAAAGAGATAGAGAAAAGAACAAAGAAGGAGGAGGAGAGGTGGAAGAAAAAATGAAAAAGGAAAATCTGGAGATAAAAGGGAGGTAGAACGAGAGAGAGAGAGAGAGAGAGAGGGAAATGAAAGGGAGACAAAAAAGAGGGAAAGTGGAAAAATGAAAAAAGGTACAAATAAAAGAGAGGGAATGAGAAAAGAGAAATATGAAAATGATAATAGAGAGAAGAGGAAAAGTGAAAAGGGATGGGAAAAGGAAAAAGAGAGAAAGGGAAAAAAGAAGAAGAGAGAAGAAACAAAATGTAAGGAAGAAGAGAGAGAGCAAGAGAGAGAAAAGGGAAAGAAAATAAGAAACAAAGAGAAAGAACACAGGTAGGTGTGAGTGAAAAAAAATTAAAATTGAGAAAGAAAGAAAGGAAGGAAGGAAGGAAGGAAGAACAAGAAATTCTTTCTTATTTGTCAACAAGAATTCCTCATTTTATCAGCTGAGCAATTCCAAGTTTTTGGAAATAAATAACAACTACAGAAGAATAGAAAATTTCTCAAATAAATAAAAAAGAATGACTGGTTGTTTGGCTTCATCACCTGAAAAGGTGATTGGGGAGTCATTCTGAATGGAACTGACAGGACATGACATCTTGCTTTTCATGTCATTTCAGTAGCCGAGAAGATTAACTTGTTTGTGTTCATCTTTCTCTCTATGTGGAAGATAGGACTGTGTAAAATAGTAACAGAAGCTGAGAAGAATCCTAGACCAGACTGCCAAGTGTTTACCATCATGCGATACCAGCAAGAAGATCATGCTCCAGGTAAATGGCACTTGGATTCATGCCTTTTCTAAGAGCATTAGAAAAGTGATGTAAACAGTCTTGATTGAAAAAAAAGAACATTATTCATTGATTGTATGTTATGAGTTGGTAACTATTATACATCTTCTGAAAAAGAATGTAAAGAAAGAAAAAGGAAGAAATAGAAAAACATAATGGAATTGGAAGATTTTAAGAAATATGAAATAGTAAAAAAAAAAAAAAAGAAGAGATAAATACGAAGAGATAAAAAAAAACTTATGTGGAAAAGAAATTGTGGGAGTAAAAATGAAAAGCAAAAAAAAGATGTGGAAAAATGAGGAATTGGGAAAGGAAGCAAAAACATACGGAAAGCACAAATGACAGTTCAAAAATGGTGGGGGAAAAAGAAACAAAGAAAACAAAGGGAAAGAAAGAAAAATAAATAAAGAGAAACAGCCAAGGGAATAAAAAACAGAGAGGAAGGAAGAAATAAAGGTTGGATAAAAAGAAGAGAAGAAAGAGAAGTAACTAAGAGAAAAAAAAAAAAAAAGAGAAAAAGGGGAGGAAGAAGTGACTGATAAAAAAACAACAGTAAAATAAAATAAAAAAAAAACTAAAGCAAATATAATGAAAGTAAAAACAAAACAGCAATGAAAACGAAATTGGAAACTAACTTTTATGAATAAGAATGAAATAAAAAAACTTTAGAAAGAAAAGCAAAAACCTACAAAAAATATAGATAGAAAAAAGTGAAAGAACTAAGAGAGGGGGAAGAAATAGAGACAAAGAGATAGCAAAGAAAGAGAAAAGAAATAGAGAGAGAGAAGGGGAAAGACACAGATAAAAGAGGCAAAAAAAGACAGACAGTAATAGAAAAATAGTAAGAAAGGAAACAAAGATAGGGGAGAGGAAACAGAGAGACAAATATATAGAAGAAAGAATGAGAAAAGTAAGAAAGAATAAATTTCTTTGAAAATTATTGAAAGCAAGAAATACAAATTACTAATAAGGAAAGTGTGACATATGAGCAGAAATTCTTGTTACCAAGAAATAAATGTCCAGGTTAGTGCAGAGATATTCTGCAGAGAAATTCTGGTGGGTAGGAGTCACAGGGGCAAATGTTTAATGATGCAAAAGTCTACAGAACTGTCCAGTTCTAATGACCTTCTGACCTTTCACCAAAATCTATTTGCTTTTGGCTGCACTTAGCTGCTAGACGATCAGCAGATTTGGCTTTCGTTAAAATCAGACTTTGTAATCTCATCTGCCGACAATTGGCTTCCACTCCAAGAATATAGTACCCCTTGGATATATGAGACATATACTTAATGATGTAATTGTTGTCCTATCTTTACTGTTCAGAGTCGCATCAGGAGTAGGTCTCTTATTGTCGTGTCTTCACTGGGGTTTACTGTGGCAACCACAACAACAATTACAGACCCACACAGACAAGACAAAGCTTGCAAGAAGGTCATAGAGCAAATGCTGTGAAATATGAGACTTAAACAACGAAAACAGGTCAGAAGAGCAAAAGATGTTTGAAATAAATGCAGAGTGAAATATACAGAGAGAAATAAATCATTATTCTGTATTGAATATCTATAAGCTTCTTAAAAGAATATTCATAAGAAAATTAATTCAGTCTCTGAAAAGAAGCAAAGAAAGAAATAGATATTTGCTGGACTTAGCCAACTTTGGTACAAAGTCATGTTATACACTGTGTATGATTGCAAGAGAGAAATAAAAACAACAAAGTATTACCAGTGAGGTAGAAAGAAAAAAAGACAAGATACATTAAAATAAAAATTATCTGTCTTGTCAGTATAATGGATCAAAGCAGAATGTCTCTTTTGTAGGTGATGGAGATAACTTGGAAGATGGGAGAGTTGATTGTGTATGGGAAGCTTGTGTTGAGTCAGCTGACCAAGAAGCTACTGGTGAACTCCCATGAACTACCTGCTTACTGTGCTGAGTGTCAGTGAATGGGGCCTTTCAAGCAGTCAGAGTTGATACATGTTTTTTGTCTTTGGTAGCAATGTTCCAATGTTTATATTTTATCTTATATTTTTTGGAATATGTTTTGTGAGTTGACTGTGATGTTCAGAACCACTTGTGAAGAGAGTGAATTTTTAATTTTCTTTGGTGTGGAGTGAATCAGAAACGGATTGAATTTGAAGCAGATAGTAATGGACACAGTACACAGAAGAAGAAGAGATTCAAGAATCTAAATAAATTTACAATGATGTTCACCCTGTAAATGCCAAAGAGTCACCCAAGGTAGAGGGTTAAATTGTCCAGCATAGATTCCAGAAGCAAATGAATCTTTTTTTCATAGCATCGTTACCCAATAAAAGAGTTATTTCAGACTCGATTACATATGCAGCAATTTCAAAATTTTTTCCTGCTAATATACAGGGTAGCTTCACTTTGAGTATAGATTTCAAGTTTTGGTCATTTCCATATCTAAATGTAGTCTTACTATCCTCTACTTTTATATTTCTTTTGACTTTTTCATGTAAAGTGTCTAGGTAACAATTATACCAAGTCAAACCACACATCAACCTAGAGCAACCTGAATCCAAAATGGTGGCACAAATAGTCTCTCCTATGTGTGTACTATCACCAGGGTCATTGTGACTCATAAGTACAATACTGGTTTTGAATAAACACAACATTCTGTGTCTCTCTTGCCTTGATTTTCAATAAAAATTTCTCTCTTGCTTTTATCTTATTAATATTTATAAATCAACAATTTGTCTTAATAGCAGAGAACCACAAACAGACACATACAAACAATATTTATATATTAGCTTCATTTAATATATTTTATATATAAAATATTTAAGAATCTCTTGTTATGCTGGCTCACTTTGATTAATATTATGCATGCACCATATAATTATAATAACAATTTTTTTTATTCATGAGAAAAGATTGCTAATAATTCCTCAACAATGGGTGAGTCTATTGTTATGGACTGAGAAATCAACAGCAAAAACCTTACAATTCATTATTGCATATGACTACCAGTGATAACTTGCTTTTTACAGGCTTAGTCCATTTCCTTTGTTCCACTCAATATGCAGTCATTTAATATGTTTGAGAGATTTTCATATACTATAAAATGGTATTCATTAAATTGTAATTCAACCAGTTTGGAAGGTTCAAACATTTTGGTAGTCATTTAGTTCATATGTTATAATTTATAGTATTTGTTAAATTTTCAAAATATATATTATCGCTTTCAGGGCAGAAAATGACCTTATCTGAATAACTAAGCAATTTCATTATAAAAGCCAAATTGAAAACAATCACTTATTTACAAAAAACAAAAACAAACAGGCATAATCTTTGAGAAAATTGTTCTTCAGTATAGCCACCACACTAGCCTATTCTCAAAGTGTTAGTTTAGTTGCTTCTTGGTGAAGGAGCATTCCTTTTTTCTAATTATACCTGAGAGATGAAGAATAGGTTTGTTGAAACATGTTATGCTGAGAATACCATGAACTGAATATGGGAGTAACAACAAAGTTTTAGAGAAATTGGAAGCAAAAAAATGATGTATACTTAATATCAAGAAGAGTCAGTTGAAATTTCTCGGGTACATAATGAGGAAAGGAGGCTCGGAAAATTTGATACTCATAGGACATATTGAAGGCAAGAGGGACAGAGGAAAACAATGTATAACCTATTTAGCGTGCATGAGTAAACAGATGGTGGAGCAGGATTTAGGAGAGATAAGAAAAAGATTTACTAAGAGCTACAAAGGACCGGAAATTGTGGAGAGCCATGATTGTCTACATTCTGAAGAGACATAGAAGAAGACAGATTCAAGAATCTAAATAAATAAAAGGTAGATATGTTAAAAACTCTTTTCAAAGTTACAGACAAACATTCCATGTAGTTAGGATGAAGATAAACTGGATAAAATGATTCATGCATGAAATATGATCAGAATTTCATCTCACTGGCAAAGAAGATGAAAGGATGACAAAGTTGAAAAGTTGGTAAATAAATCAGATCATGGATTATTGTGTAACTTCTGGAAATTATCAGAATACTAAAGCTTGCAGCACAAAAACTAATTGTTTCCAGAGAAATGAACAGATCAAAAATGTATCTAATTTGTTTGTTTACTGATTGGTTAATAATACTCATATTTTTTTATTGGCTAGAAAAGGTTAATATTAAAGTTCAAATTTATTTGTGATTCACTTTTTGTACAAATTTGTACTAGGAGTAAAAATGATATGAAAATGTCATTCACAGTTGTTTTCTGAGATGAAGTAAAATCCAAGATTTTGAACAGATTTTTAAAACAGGTAGGCCTTCCTTACTTGGAAAATTTGTCTTTCTATGTGTGGGTAGTGTAACAGCTATCAGGAATAAAAGTGGATAGGGTTCAAATTCTGAGCTAGTCTGTTGTGTCCACTTTTGCACTAATAATCTTGGGAAAGACATGAATCTATATCTTCCTGCTCCCTCCAGCCATGGAAGTGAGGGGAAACTGAGCTCTTTAGAATTGGTTGTCACTGAAAAGAACAAATATGAATACCAAACCATGGAAAATATAAAGGGAAACCAATCCACTATTGTTCTCAACTAAGCATTGCAATTCACAGATAATAAACAAATAGAATTTGTGGAGTCATGATCACTTTTTTTTTTGACAATGATGTTCACCTTGTACAAGACCCAAGAACTACTCAAGGGTTACAGAGTAAAAAGCACAGATTATGGGGATATGGATGGGGGGGGAGGAGATAACTAAATTTGAACAGGTTAAGATTGCAGTGATTGGTGAAGCATCCTCTTGGGTGTCGGTTCCACAAAACAGGAAGGAACAAGGCATTTTCAAAAAAGCCGCTCAGTACATTGTTTGAGTAAAATCTGCAATATCTATATTGTATAAATATTTATGTTAGTGTTTTTATTCCTATAAATATATGTATATATATATATCAATTCACATATACAAATCTGACTCTTTATCTTTTTAGCTATGCAATGATCTATCTGCGTGTTTCTATCTATTTACCTGAAATAGAAATTATCTTCCCCAAGGCCAAAGCAGAAATGAATTATACTTCAATGTCTATGAAGAGTTGCAAGAATGGAGACACAGATGATATGTACAGCAGAGGTAGTATCAGCAGATATCCTTCATAAAACTGGTGATCTGGTTGCTTTCTTCTAACATCAGCCCAAGATTAAAATCAGATACACAAGGATCAAATTGCTGCTGATATGATTCAGGAAAAGATGAGTCTATATTCTAAGACTTTACAAATGGAAATGATCATGATTAGTATTTTTGAGTTCATTTCTGACTCATAAAATGGGCTAATCTTTGTGGACACAATGCTAAACAGTAATTGGCTTTTATTTCCCTTGTGTATGCCTCATGATCTTTATATATAATATTACATACAAAGGGTGTTGCAAAAGTTTTGATATGAGCAATTTTGCAGTGATTACACATTAATGCTTTACTGGAAGAAAAGTAACAATATATAAAATGAAATTTCTTTATTTACAAAAACAAGCAAGGTCTCATCATTTTACAGTTGAAGCATATTCATCAACTTGTCCAGGCTTAGAATATTGCTGCCACATACGCTTTAGTCACCCTGCTATTTACCTTGAGCTCTCTGATAAAATCCAAAGAAGAATCAGCCATATTATTGGTCCTGATCTGGTAGCTTGGCTTCAGTCATATTCCCACCTTCATAAGGTTGTCGCTCTGTGCTTTTTTTATAAATACTTTCATGGTAATTGTTTGGATGAGCTCTTTGCTATGACACCAAGATTTTTTAATATAAGCACAGTACTATAATGTCGGGATCTCATCAATTGTCAGTTGAGCTGGCTAAATGTAGCTCTAAGTTCTATGATTAGAGTTTCTTTTCTCACACTTCTGGCTTGTGGAACTTCCTTCTGGCTTCATGGTTTCCAGTCACCTTTAACCTGCAAAAATTTAAATGCAACATCAATCACTATCTGCTGATTACTCTATTCTCTTCCTGTTCATTATTAATGCTTCTGTTCCTAATTCTTTCACACCTTGTAACCCCTTGTGTCTTAGTGACTTTACTACCTTGATACCAATTTAAAAAAATGGCTAGATGTAACCATAAGTTCTATGTTAACAGTATCTTCTCAAGAAGGACACTTTTAGCTTGTGTTTTTCTCATATTCTCTCACACTCAGTAACCCTCTTGCATCTTAGTGGTTCTGTTGCCTTGTTTAGGGTGAAATGATTAAAAAAAAATGGAGCAAAATTAATATTTCTCAGTAGGTAACTCCAACTATTTAGTTCCAACAACCCTCACAGATCAGACACATCATGCAACTTACACTGAGGCAAACCACCCTCATTCCTTTTGTATCCCATTAGTGAGAACTGAGTCTAACTTAAACAGCTTCTTCCCACAAACGGCTACTTTGTGGAACTGACTCCCAAGAGGATGCTTCT